TTGGTCGGATCGAGAAGTTTTCAGCCTCCCCTCATCTTGAAGTAGTGATAATGCGTGAGATATATTTATTAACCTCAGTTTCGTCGATGTGAATCTAAAAGGGCATAAGTCGATATACGTTCTTTTCTGCATGTTTTTCCATTTTTGAAATGTGCAAATGAAAATGGCAATATTCTGCAACAAAGACTTTTTTGTGTTGTTTTTGTTGCTCTTCTTCTTCTTCTTCTTCTTCTTCTTCTTCTTCTTCCATCTCGGGTGGGTGTTTTATATCCACATGTCATACAGTTTTTCCCACACGTGCATCTCCTCGATGCATCTGGCTCGGTCACGTGTTTATGCTGGGGGCAGCCAGTGACATCCAGTTTATTGCGGCCCTACTCTTGGAGGTCATCTTTCAGCTCAATCATCTGATGCACCTGGCTTCTCTGTTGAAAGTAAATTGATGTGGTTCCTGTTATTTGATAAAGTTCTTCGTGTCAGTCCTAATCCATCAACAGATACCTCGAAAATATTTCTCATCGCAAGCATACTGTGGCCGTCAACAGAGAAGTGAATTAGCACTTGAGTTAAAAAAGCTTCTCCAGTTAACTTGCTGTCTCGTAAGTAGTATTTGTAAGAAGCTGTTACATCTATTGTCAGCCACGACTGAAGCTGGTCATATTAAATGTATTCTTTCCATCTTTGTTGATAAGATAACATTTCCGCTGATGCATATCCTGACCACATATATCGCATTCCGGAAGAATTCCATGATTCGTAAGTTCTTGTGTGTTTTTAACCAAATTTCACCTTCATTCTAATTAGGACAAATGCTAGATACACGCGGCATAAAAAAAATAAAAGTAAAGAAGAGAAAGAGAAAAACATTCAAGTTTACTCCTCTTTCAGGAGCCATCACAGCATTCTCGATCCTAGTTGTCGATTGATCGACCACACACCCACTTGAACATACGCCGTGACGTGCCCAACATTTTGAAATAAACAGAACAATCGATCCAATACTCTACATAAGAAAGATAATCAAACAGAAAACGATGATCATAATCTTAAAGCCAAAATATTTTTAATGGCATGTACTTTCAGGATGCTGAGAAACATAACGGTGTTATTTATTTTTGAGTTCCATGGTTCTGTATTGTCCTTCTAGACTGGTTGCCAACTTACGATAGAAAACGGTTTATTCTGTTATTTAACCAACAACTGAGAGAAGAGATTGTTTCATGTCTTTCTCGTGGCCATTATCCCATAATAGATGCTATAGACTGTAGAAATTTGAACCTCTTTTACTTTCTACGCTAATAACTTATATTTTTTATATTATTATTTGGGCATTTTCAGTATGATTATTGTTGTGAGGGAGAATATTTCCCTACAAGTTTGTACTCGGCTGTCGGACGAAAGACATAAAAATACTCCTACATTAAGAGGAGCAGCAGTAGCCTTTGCTGAAAAAAAGTCATTCACAGCTAAACATTCCTTTACCTTATTTCTATTCTATATTATTTTTCCTTGTACCAAAAAGTAATAAACATGTTAAACCAATTTTATTACTCCTTTAACTCCATCTAATTATTGTTGCTTTTTTTATGACAACTAGTTCAATAAACTCATTATTATTATTATTATTTTGTTACTTTTATACATCTTGAGTTTCATGACAGTATTCTGGATCAATAAACATTTTGAACACCACAATTAAGCTTCCAACGAGAGTTGAGCTTCGAGAATACACTTCAAATTGACATTGCCTTAACCATGCGAAAACGCGTCACTATAGAAGCAAAAGAGGCCTCGCATCGCATGCAGACATGTTTATCAATACCAGTTACATCCAAACTGTCCTGCTGCTAACGCAAAAAATTAGCAGCAGGACAGTTTGGCATGTCTCTGGAAATGGTAAAGATTCGGGCCTTTGTAAGATGCCTCATGCCAATAAAAGCGACGAGAAAACGGCAGTCGGCAGTTGGGAAGACACGGTATCTTGTACTGTTGGTCCCGCGCGTATTTTGTTCTTCAAGTTACTATGCTTTCCGAGGTAGTGTTATTTTTGTTACTCGCCGCCTCTTTCCCTATTACCCCCGTAGTTGCTGGGTAAGCAGTCGGTTGGATGCCCCCCACCCCAGTATCAACAGCCTCTTTGCTTACATTACAACAGTGCGCAGATTATTAAATACCTTTCGATAAGAAAGCGTCGAGGCTGGGAAATCGATAGCGATCGGAAGTTTTGCCGAATTAGTTTGCTAACCATAAAACCATAGTCGGTTATAATCCTGTGACAAGCCATAAGGGTTTGCGATTAGGAATTCACTGTGTTTTCACCGTGAATGTAAGACGAATGAACATTGGGGGAAGACTGGTCTGTTCAGTTCATCCGCCCTTGGAGACAGGACTGCGATACAAATTTGCGGCACCCAATGAGCATTGAAATTAATACATAGTATTAATAGCCTGCGAGATTAGCTTAAATCAATACTACTCTACAAGAAGGCGTATTCGACATTTATGTCATATTTTAGAAGAGACAATTTCCGCGGCGTTTTTCTATAAAAGAAACTAAAAATAAATAAAATAATAATAAAAAAAAACTAAAGGAAAACAAAAAATAACTATAGAAATGAGAAACTCAAAGTTAAAAGATATGTTCTTACCGAAAGCAGAAACAGCTCACGAATTTCAAAGGACAAATATCTAACATTCCTCTGTTATTATTTCTTTGTTACCAAAAAAAAAAAAAAACAATTACAGTGTTTTTTTTTCGTAAGCACTAACTTATGCAATGTGACAATATCTGAATATTGATTCTTTGTGGTCTCGACCGTATTATTTATTTATTTATTTATATACTCGTTATTTGTAGTTACTTTATCTTTTTTACTTCCTGGATAGAATGCAGGATAATCGGTAATGGCCAGACGAATATTTACCATTTAATGGCCAAATTTAATGCTTATGTCTGCGTGTTCAATCGAGGACTGACAGCCGTTTAATCCTCAGCGCATGCGCCAAAGACGTATTCAAGATTTAAGAGTTGTTATTTACTAAGCTCAGCTTAGTTTCGCACAAGTTTGAAGATTTGCCAATTTGCAATAAGCATGTTTAAAAGAGTTTAGATAAATGCAGTCAAATACAAAATGAGAGAAAGAAGACTAAGACGCGCCAGTCTTCCAAATAAACATGTTTAGTACAATGGTTTAATTTAAGGTTTGTTTATAGGAATGTTTAAAAGTTCGTTTATTGGTAAGTCGCGGGCCTTTACGGTGGCATCTCTTTTTATATATATCTTCGCACGATTTTACAATACACATTTCTTATAATTCATGTTCTATGTACCCTGTCTCTTCAGTGGATCATGGCTCTCTACAACTTTCGATTCGTTGTAACTCTTAGCAATGTTTGATGTTTTAATATCCCGTCCACTGCCATTCACCATCCATTTAGGTAGGGGTAGGTTACTCGTTGCTTCATTCTGTCCCATTCAATATGTTCTCTGAGTGTCAAATTCTTCAAGCCTTCCTTCCTCATTACGCTTTTCATCTAGAAATTCCAACCGTTTCTTCTAAGTTGAAGTGTCTTTTTTGTTTTCAGTTTCCTTAAAACTTCCTGCTTACTCACATTCTCTGTCCATTGTATTCTCAACAGCCTTCTGTAGAATCCCATTTCTCTGGCTTCAAGTTTTCTCTTCATCTATAAAGAAATTGCCTATCGTTCCCTCTCATAATGGACGACTGATGTTACATTGGAATTCATCACTCATTCCTTTGCTTCTACTTTTGTTTTGTTTTTGGAATGCGTCTTTTGCTATTCCAGTGCACCTTCGGATTTCGGTGTCATATTTTTCGTCATCTTTTCCAGATATTTAAATTTCTGTTCTTGCTTGATTTTTATATCTCCAATTCGTAGCCCGCATCCTGAACTATTCTTCTTACTCACAACCAGACATTCTCTCGTCTGACAATTGTTTACACCTTCCTATAGCACATTTTCCATGAGTGCCTGCAGTTTTCAGTTGCATATCTTATGTTGTTAAGACTTCCTATAAATAATAAATCCCGGTAGAACTTCTAGTTCTCCTAGCACATCATATCTACAAAGGTTGACTAAATCTAATAAGAAGAAGCATCCTTGTCTTACTCCATTTTCTGTTTTCCATTTTCTATTCGCATGCAGACAGATTGTTTCCAATTTAAGTTCTGGATTATTCGAATTTATTTGGTAAAGATATTGGAATATCTTTACCAAATACATGAAGCCCCCTTGCAGTATCGCTCCTTATCAAATGCTTTCGTACAGTCTATGGAGCATAAGTATACGTCTTGCTACATAAGTACTGTGCTTTCATGTTTATAATAAAATAGGATGAAATATAAATACAATAAGAGATTTCATTTCGGTGATGGCTAATAGAATTACTCATTTTTTAACGACTAAAGTTATCGAAATAAATTCCACTGAAAATGATGTGAAAATTCGCAGCGCTAATGCCTGGTCCGCCTTGAATAAAATGGTTGTAATCTGTAAACATGATCTACCAGACGACCTCAAACGGAGATTCTTTTGTGCCACAGTAGAGGCGTTTTTAATGTCCACTGCTTGGACTTGAATAAAACCCCCAGAGTCTAAGCTTGATGGAACCTACACTTGGATTCTATACTTAACATCTCTTGGAGACAACATCCAAATAAATCACATCTCTATGGAACCATCCCTTATATTTCTGCAACCTTATGCTAATTCAATTCCATTTAGACTAGAGACGAAAACAGTTCAAAGTACTTGAAGCTATATAAACGGACGTCACTGCCTAGTTTTGAATATATCGGATGGGGTTCAAGTACAGTCGAGGGGAATGTTGTCTTTTTCTTCGATGATAAAAAGTAAAATAAGACGAGAATTTGATCTCTTCACGGTTGGATAGAGTTAAAGAAAGTCATAAGTTAAATAAACATTTTCAGAAACGGAATTAAAGATTTCCCTTGACTCACAGTATATGTCAGTTGGCTTTCGTCCATATCACGTTAAGACACCGGTTCCACTACGATCACCGAAGTTAAGCAACATCGAGCATGGTCAGTATCTAGATAGGCGACTCCTTGAGAATACCAGGTGCTGAAAGCTTGGGTGTATGAGTGGTGTAATAGATAACGGCTCGGAATAGGAAGTCGGAGACCCATGTTCGAATTTCAGCCAGAATCATTGTATTCACTTACGTTCAAATACCCTTGACAAACGTATGAATCTATCTTTTCTTCCCAGCTATGGCTTGATTGGTAGGACTTGTATCAAAAGTAAAATAATTCTTATCTCCAAAAATATTCTTACAATTCAATAACAGTGCTCAACTGCTTCCTCGAGAGCCTGTACTTTATAATGTTCCATAAGTTTTCTATGGGGTTGAGGTCAGGAGATTGGGGCGCCCATGTTATAACACTCACCTGCTTCTCATCAAAGTATTCCTTCATCAATTTTGATTTGTGACAGGGAGCATTATCCTGCATAAAAATGAGCTTGGTGGGGTCGATTTGCACCCTTTCAGCAGAAGGGAGCAGACAAGACTCTAAAATTCTCTTGTACCGCTCGCTCCTGAGGGTCTTTTCAATAAGTTTTAAGAAACCAGTTCCATGAAAAGAAAAGCATCCCCAGAACATTATACTGAACGGATGCTTGACAGTACTTACTGCTAAATTCAAAGAGTTTTCAAAGCTTCTTCGGATTTTAGATCGCTTATCCTTTGAATTTAGCTCAACTTTCGTTTCATTGGAGGAGAGAACATTTAGTAAAAAAAAAACAGGTGAGTCACTTTTATCCAACAGCACTGTATATGTTGGCTTTAAATAACCCGCAAAAGGTTGATAAGACGTAAAAAAAAACAAATCAATCAATAAATACTTGTTAGTTTGGATTCATTGTATTTTATCTAATCTAGTTTTTTTTTTTTTTAAATTCTTTGTTTCTTTCTGTTTACCTTTTTTCTTATTTTTTTATTTCTGTTTTCCTGTTTTCTTTCTTTTTATTTTATGTTTTACTTCCTTGCTTCATTTTTTCTGTCCTTTAAATTGACTCTATTTTCTTTCTTTCTTTCTTTCTTTCTTTCTTTCTTTCTTTCTTCTGTTCCTTTTTCCTCCTTTGCTTCCTTCCTTCGTCTCTGAACACATTTGTGTTATTCAATATCAGAAAAATTACTGAAGCAATATTGCAATATTAGATATCAATTGAATCTGTCTGATTTCACGAATGCTGCAATCAGAGGAATGGATTCTATCACCAGCACCCACCCACCCAACGAACGAAGAGACATACGAGGATTAAATTGTTTGGAAAGTTCCCAACAGACTCTTCCGAAAATCAGCTTACGAGCTTTCTGAAACTCAATTGGCAAACCGAGTTCGAATTTAGTGGAGACTGTGTTCAATGAGTAACAATAGTCTTTGAAAGGACATGAAACCACAGATATCATGACAAAAATATTTGTTCTCGGGTACTGATCAACTGCTCAATGAATTATCGAACTTCGAACTGGGTTTGATAGCAGATATGGTAATTATTGCTGTCCACGGTGACCAAGCGAGGTTTTCAGTTATCTATCATTCAACAAGTATCATTTATTCAAGTGTTTACAAAATTGTCTAAATCAAAAAGATTCTTGGAAGATTGAAAAAGACGCTTATACCCTACACGCAAGCGGTCCTGTGGTGGCAGCCACCGGCGGGCCTCCATCGCTCCGCCAGTGGTAACATTGCCAAGAGGAACACTCCGGCGGCAAACGCTAGTGGAATGCCACCCAGTGGCAGATTGGTGGCTTGCATGTTGCGGAACAATTACTTTCTTGATAATGATAAAAATGTATGGAAGACTTGAATTGTAAAAAGAACGATGTTAGTCGACAGAGAAACAAAATAGTATATTAATTTAATATTCTTTATATATATATATATATATATATATATATATATATATATATATATATATATATATATAAAGATGTATTTTATCTTTACTTAATAAATGGAATATATTCGAATGGTACATTATGTTTTGCAAATAATTTACCCTAGCTTGGTTATGTTACTTCACTTGTTATGTAGATTCCCGTATTACCAACTGCAGTCGGGTTCATAAAATCCTTGTAAAATCTACGATCCTTTCATTAACTACATATTATGCACTTCAACAGGGTTACATACTGTGTTTAAATTCAGAATTCTCCTTCTCCTAGATTGGTTGCCAGTCAAGGCTGAAGAGCTCAGTCTACCCATAGTTGGAGGTTTTGAATTCAGAGTTGTCATTCTCCTATACTAGTTGCCACCCCAGGCCATAGGACCCAATCGGAGGAGGGAGATGTGGAGGTAGAGATGGATTAATATTAAGGCTATTTGTTGAACTTCGAAATGTGTAGATTTCAAATGAATTCCGTTTTTAAACAATTCCTTTGCTGTGATGAAAAGGAGATTATTTCATTAGTAAATTATAACATCAGTAAATACTCCGAAACTAGAGCTTCATATAAAAAAGCTGATACTGTTAATACATGTTTGGATAGGAATCCTCTGCAATTATCTCCTTCCAGAGAACTAAATGAAAGATTCGAACAAGTTGTTCAAGCAAATGGGCCAAATGAATACAGCAATCAGTGAAAAATTTTCGAAAGAAAGAGTGTAATATTTAATCAGTATATCGCTCGATTGCATGCTTTGGTGACGTATTCTAGCAAGTTATAACCTGGCTGCCAAATTTTAACTCAGGTGAATTAAATACACGGATGTAGATGGCTAACAGATATGAAGAGATTAAGATATGCAAACAGATAGATAGATAAATGCATAGATATGAATAGATTTGGATAGATATGAACAAAGATAATAATACAGCACCTAGAGTAGTTATTTTCAGAGAAAGATGACAAAAGTTCTTGGAGGACGGAATTATAAATTTGTCTGGAAGATTATAGTAGATAGTGAAACGAAATGTTTTATATATTGTTTAATAATGACAGAATTTAAAAAAAAATACAAATAGAATTTAATTTGTATTAATAAACCGACCGAAACTTTTTGATTCCTCTATATAAAGAACATGCAAAACTTTAGGCTGAAATATCTTTCAAAGAAAAACTTATGGGAGAATAAATTAATCGCTCGGCTAAACATTCAATTTTATAAAACGAGGCACTGAGTAATCCATATTTATTTTTACTCGCATATATATTTTATCTGATCTTCAGTTTGACATTCATATGTCAATTTTTGATGCATTATCGACAGAATCGAGGTAATAATTATTTCGCCATCGTCTATTTTCATTTAAGTTTAATAAACAAAAATATTGCTACGTCGAGGTGTTTAAGTGCTTTATTACTTTTGAAGATTAAGAATAACTGGTGTAATACTTTGTATTAAAAGATTGTTTCCAACATCAACTCTTCTGGAGACAAGGTGTCCATACGATCTATTCAATTCGTGTGAAGAAGATATTTTCTGGATTGATCTTTGTCTAGTAGGATAATGAGACATTCGCTTAATATTCGTCAGTAAGAGAAGAGACATTATGAGAAGTAAATTTAATAGATAATAAGGTAAATTTAATTGATAATGAGGTAAATTTGATGGATTATAAGGTAAATTTGATGGTTAATGACGTAAATTTGATTGATAATAAGGTAAATTTGAAGGATAATAAAGTAAATTTCGCAAGTAAATTGTTAGATTTCGTATAGAGCAAAATAGATTTCGTGAGCAGTAAGGTAAACAAAATAGGATTCATGGCTATGGTGGACTTCATGCATAATGAATTTAATTTCGTGAATAGTAATGTGCGCTGTATGCGTAATACGAGGGTGGGATATGAAAAGTTTATAGGCTGCTATGAAAGAAAGATGCTAGATCTAAAATCTTCCATGCATTAATTTCAAATGTTCTTATAAATAACTGTATTGTTTCATTTCAAGTCATCTTACATCTGACTAGTGAAAAAAAAAATACTTCAAAACTAACAAATAGCGACTTCCCTTGAAAATCGATACAATTTGGGCATGGTGGAGGCTAAAATATTTTCTGCAGGTAAGGACATTAATGCTGACATGATTACTACATTAATAGGTGATGTTCCAGCATTATAAACAGTGCAAAAGTGGACAGCTGAATTTAGGAGGGGAAGAGAGTGTATTGAAGATGAAACAAGGTCTGAACCTCCTGGAATTGCCACAAGCAAGAAAATCGTTGATCGTGTTCGTCACATGGTGATAGATGAAAGGCTATTGACTATAAATCAAATAGCCAATGCTATTAACATTTACCTTGAGAGAGTTAAAAATATTCTGCACAATGGACTTGGCATGACGAAGGTTTTTGCTCGGTGGGTGCCACGTCTTCTGATACCTGATCAAAAGTGCATCAGGCTGATCTCATCAAGAGTAAATCTAATATTGTTTGAGGCAGATCAGCTGGTTTCCTTGAACATTGTCTAACCCAAGATGAATTTTGGGTTCAAATTTACGGCCTGAGAAAAAAAAATTATCATCTAAACCTGACTTAAATAGAGGTATCTCCAATTTTTATCGCAGAAAGTTTTACCCGAATAAAAAGAAAAGAAAAAAAAAAAAAAGGAAAATGCATGAAACGTGTAAAACTTAACTTTATGTTCAATTTCTTTATGCTCTTTGTCAAGTCAGGTTTTTCGGATATTTTTCTTCGCAATAAGGCTAAATTATGCAAAATTAATTATTCCACTGTAGTGCAGTTTTAAATAAAGTTTTATAGCTTGTTTTTTATGTGTGCGTCCATTTTTGTGTGTATTAGTGCGTGAGGGTCTTTCTCCTCCCTCTCTCTCTCTCTTTCTGTCTCTGTCACTTTTCCCGTTTATCTTTTTGTATAAGCGGCATCAAGCGCTGACATCTAACAGTTTCTTGCAATTATTCATTCTCTATTCTTAGTATAACAGAATAACGACAATTCTCACCCCACCTCTCTCTCTCTCTCTCTCACGCTACACACTGTATTCATTTTTCTTTCATTTCGTATTCATTTTTCAACCCAGCTTTCTGTTTTTTTCCTTATCTAACATTATAACAAGAGGACAAATGTATTCAGAATCAAGGTTTGAATTCTTTACTGAGTAAT